AACAAAAATATTCACATTAAGTTACATCTCAGCCTAAAAGGAGTGTTTGATATTCTGATGGAACTGACTTGTTCTCAAAAAAAAAAATCAATTTTTTAAAGTACAAGTAAACTTCCAGCTTAAAAGGAATTTGATATTCTGGGCCAATGGCTCCTTTAACTCACAGGGGCAGATCAAATGGTAGAGCGCTCACTTAGCATGTTAAGCTGGGTTATGAGTCTTACAGGGGATGTCACCTGTGGGATAAGGAGCCATATTGTGCAGCTTCTCATACCCTTAACCTACTGTAACTGGAGGGGGCGATGCAGGCAGTTACACTTTGCTTTTCTACTGTATTTTTCCCTGGAAACAATTAAATGGTCACTAAATGTTCCAGCTAAATACAGGACAGGTGAGTGTGATAATGCCATAACTTTCAGGGCGCGAGGTGGCCGAGCAGTTAAAGTGATGGACTGCTAATGCATTGTGCTCTGCCCACGTGGGTTCAAATCCCATCCTTGTTGATGGTCATTTTCAGCTTTCATCCACGGAGCCCCACACAATTCCGCAGTTGAACGTTTAGTAATCATTTATCCGTGTGTGCATTGAGAGCCTATAACAGAGGTCACCAGCTGTTGGTCTGGGTCTGGTTTTTATCTGGACTGCAAAGTGTAACACGTGAGTGGGTCAAACAAACTCAGAAACGTTGACAGTGAAAATTGAGTGCTCACACAATCTTTATTCTGCACATGGAGCAAGGCCAGTGTCCTGCTGTGGTGGTTGTGAAATAAAACACAGACTGATAAAAGACAGTTGCTACCAACGGCTGTCTTCACCCAGTCTTCACCCCACAGCTCAACAGCTATATTCTATGTGATATAATTTATTGTGGACATGCAGCCATTGTCATTTTATTTGTCAGAAAAGGAATTTTGTCATCTCTGCTCCGTTAAACCTCAGCGTAAAATGTCCTGCTCAGTGCAGGGAACCTCGTTGAACAGGTTTATTTATGTTACAGGTTGTGTAAAGACAATTAACAAGAGCCGATATATCACCCTTTGATTTTTAAAACAGAAATAGTGGTATCACCCTCAGCAATCTTGCATTGGTCAAGCTAACCTAATCATTACTTTCATTGTTGATTAATCTGCTGAATATTTTCTCAGTGAATAATTTCATCTATAAAATATCTGAAAAAGGTGAAAAATACACATTGTACTTTCTTCCCCCTCCACCATCACTCTGATGAACACGTAGCTATGTATGACTGAAGCAACAGAACTTGGCAACCACCGCAGTGCAATAATTGTAAAAAGTACCGCTACATGCACCACTCTGATAGCTCAAAATGTTTATATAAGTATTTAAAGTTTATGAATACTGCCTCTTCTCCTTCTACCACGCTTCCCCTACCTTTGATTGCACTATTCTCTTGTCTGTTGTTTATTGTCTGTTGCCTAAACCACACCGAGAGCCTCTGTTCCAGAGACGAACTCCTTGTATGCTCAGCATACTTGGCGATTAAAGCCGATTCTGATTCAGATTTCCCACAGCTCAAAGATATTAAGTTTAATAAAACAAATTACAAATCATTTCTACTAGGAAAAATAAAAGGAAAACTGATTAAAATACTACAGCTCTACAGGGTACCTTATATTTTCTTGTTTATTGTAGGTTTGGGGTTGTACTACTTATATCCTTGTTTTTACTGTAAAGCACTAGAAAGTTCTGTATAAATGAAGTGACCATCATTGTTATTAATGTTATATCTTATGATTAAATACACAAAAAGAAAAGACAATCAGGAATCAGTGACTTCGGGTCAGTGCGTTTAACGTAAGTGAGCAGAGTTTTCACAGCAAATTTGGAAGGAGGGAGATGTCTAATCAGAGATCTGCTGCATGTGCACACAGGTGAACAATAACCTGTCAGGTAAGTGCATGTGAACCTACTCAGAGCTTAACTCACGTGATGTGGGTCTGTGGAGTCCAGCGTCTCTAGCTGTGTCTCCAGTTCTTCTGTGTCCCTCTCCGTCTTCCTGCTCTCCTCAGTCTGTCTGTCCAACTGTCTCTGCGTCTCATCAGCTTCGTCTCTCAGCCCCTCCAGGACAGTCAGTTTACTGAGGAGATGACACAGCGCCCTCTGCTGGACACACAGCAAAAGATATCACAGATCACAAATTTGCCTCAAGGGGCTCTAAAGAATCAAGGATTTTATATCTTTCCATTTTGCACAAATCTCATCTGAGGACTAAAAGAAAGAATTAATTTGGTGCACTCAGCGTAAGCAGTGCAAGAAGTAATTCAGATCTTTAAGTAAAAGTAGAAATACCACAGTGGGACATGGAGTGACATTGAGGAGCTCATGGTGATTTGGTGGATGTGTTGGAAGTGCTGAGGAAGATGTCCTCCGATCCTTTACAGAAGGAAAAGTAGCAATACCACAGTATATTCTGTTACAAGTAAAAGTCCTGCATTCCAAATGTTACTTAAGTAAAAGTACAAAAGTACCAGCATCCAAATCTACCTTCAGTACCATCAGTACCAGTACTGGTCCTGCAGAATGGCCCGTGTCCCAGTAACGTCTCTGATACTGGATCATAGTGACTAATTACTGTGTCCATCACTTTAATGCTGCAGCTGGTAAAGGTGGAGCTGATGGTAACTACCTTATATATTTATACTGTGAAGTACTTTACATCCTGCTGGGTAGCTGGTGGATTCCACCGGGAACTATAGAGTCTGATGGTTCTACTGGGTTTGGCTTGATTCATTTGACTGGGGAAAGGAACTGAAATGATCAGGTACATGTAGTGCAGTAAAAAGTACACGGTTCGTCTCTGACATGGAGTCACAATATAAAGGAGGAGGACATGGAAGTACTCAGGAAGTACCTCTAATTTATACTTAAATAGAGTACTTGAGTAAATATACTTAGTTACTTCCCAATGAATAGATTAAAATCAAGGACCGTGACGTCGCCCGGCATGGCGCAGCCAGGGCCCCACCCTGGAGCCAGGCCCGGGGTTGGGGCCCTCACGGGGCCCGGCCGGGCTTAGCCCGAACGAGCGACGTGGGCATGTCCTCCCGTGGGCCCACCACCTGCAGTGGATTGGGCAGCAGTCGAAGGCAGGGGCCCCGACGACCCGATCTCTGGACACGGAGACTAGCCCTGGGGACATGGAATGTCACCTCGCTGGTGGGGAAGGAGCGCGAGCTTGTGCAGGAGGTTGAGAGGTACCGGCTAGATATAGTCGGGCTCACCTCCATGCACAGCTTGGGCTCTGGAACTTTACTCCTCGAGAGAGGCTGGACTCTCTACTACTCTGGAGTTGCCCACGGTGAGAGACAGCGGGCTGGTGTGGGCTTGCTCATAGCTCCCCAGCTTAGCCACCATGTGTTGGAGTTCACCCCGGTGAACGACAGGGTCGCTTCCCTGCGCCTTCGGGTCGGGGATAGGTCTCTCACGGCCGTTTGCGCCTACGGGCCAAATGGCAGTGTAGAGTACCCGGCCTTCTTGGAGTCCCTGGGAGGGGTGCTGGAAAAGGCCCCGACTGGGGACTCTGTTGTTCTACTGGGGGACTTCAACGCCCACGTGGGCAGCGACAGTGACACCTGGAGGGGCGTGATTGGGAGGAACGGCCCCCCCGATCTGAACCCGAGTGGTGTTTTGTTATTGGACTGCTGTGCTAGTCACAGTTTGTCCATAATGAACACCATGTTCAAGCATAAGGGTGTCCATCAGTGCACATGGAACCAGGACACCCTAGGCCGGAGGTCGATGATCGACTTTGTGGTTGTTTCATCTGACCTCCAGCCGTATGTCTTGGACACTCGAGTGAAGAGAGGGCGGAGCTGTCAACTGATCACCACCTGGTGGTGAGCTGGATCCGATGGCGGGGGAGGAAGCTGGACAGACTCGGCAGACCCAAAC